CCTACCAGCTTTTGTTCTCCAGGAATCTTCAGCTAAGGCAGCCAACAGCGACAGGAGAACCAACTTAAATTAAAACTTTATTGTACCTACCAGCTTTTGTTCTCCAGGAATCTTCAGCTAAGGCAGCCAACAGCGACGGGAGAACCAACTTAAATTAAAACTTTATTGTACCTACCAGCTTTTGTTCTCCAGGAATCTTCAGCTAAGGCAGCCAACAGCGACGGGAGAACCAACTTCACTCCATGGGCACTCAGCTTACTCATAACAGCTTTTGCTGTTTCATCTGTTGCCTGGAATATTTTAAACACAGAATTTATAAGACTTCTCTGATCCATATCTTTACTGTTAGAGTATTAAATGTTAACACAGCCAACTGCAGGAACAAAATATTTATTTCACAAAAGTCTTATTCATGATTAAACGGACTATTATACAAATTGCACGCTATTCAATATCGGATAATGATACGAGTAGTACATAGGAAACACACAAAAACAATACCCAAAAAAACCTTTGCCTTATATAATCAAGTAACACGCAGAGCGAGTGAATCTGTATTACTAAATTAAATCAATACCGTCCATTTTCATATGCCTTACAACAAGGGTGAATAAATATGAGTTGACAAGTTATACCACACTAAACTAACGTTGTCCATCTTTATCTCACAGCAACATCCACGGTTAACTTTCGACAAATAACAATTGAAAGTAACGTAACGTGGTTTTTAGACTATTGCATAATACTAAAAAATGACATATCTTTGTCAAAATTTTAGGTTTTGATTTTAAAGGTTAACTTCCTACAGGAAATAAGGAAAAATAAACTAACTGTACCTTTATATTTCAACAACAATATTGTCAAGTACTGTACAGTGATTAGGTGAAGAATAATATGGTATCTGTAACCTTAAAGTGTCATTATTGTCCACTCTTGTTAATATTGAGGTCATTTGAAGACTGAAACCACAGTCTTCATGCATCAATACTCTTTTCTGTATTGTTCACCATTATAATTCTCAGCATATGATGAAATATTATTTTAATACATGCTGAACATTATTAGGGCCAAAATATCACCTTTGTTGAATAATATGTTAACATGGCGACACGTAACTTAGCACAGGTATAACATACTGAATAAATTCAATCTAGGAAACACGCAGTATTATCTGTATAGCCAAGTATATATATTAAACATCTTGATGGTTCTGTCCATTTGGTTTGTGTCACGTGTTCACTTTTTCAGTGACTTAGAATAAGTATAGTGTAACGACAAAGTTTATTGTATTTATGTTATTTTAAGTGTATATATAATAAAGTCATTAACAGACAAAAGAAGTCCAGTTGAAGACACTTTACCACCTTATAATAATTAGTCCGTTGTTCCCAAGAAAATTGAAACTGTAGATCATTGCTTTACTTTTTATCACAAAATATATTAAACACGTATATTACCTCTCTAACATACTGATTTCCATCTCCAAAACAAAGCAACAAGTGGGGAAGAACATGAACTATGTAAGGTTCAAAGAGTCGACCAAGCATGTTACACAGCATCTCGAAGGCAAATAATGCACCTGTTACAAAAAAAACAACATTACAGTGAAAGTAACATAAGAGAAACATGACAATAAAGTGTAAAATACAACTCAAACAGTAGTATAATGTCGTGTTCTACTGGATTACACTCACAGTTCTGAAAACTGAGCTATCCCGAACTATACAATAACATAATGTTCTAACATAATGTTCTCAAGGCTTAACGAAGCAGTGAAACAAATTTAAAACCAAGCAATATTATCATTAATTGGATGATGTTACCACTTCTGTCTACCACAAAAAGCTTTACACTACAAGAATAGCAACTACATTCTGCCAGGAGAAAACATGAGAACTTCATAAATTGTCTGAAAATACTTTTTTTCATGTACAGAGCAAAAAAAAAAAAAGGCTGTTTATATTGTGTGTAGAAATAACAAAAATTTACAAACTTTAAAAGAGATGCTTCACAATATTTTCATTTTGAAAAATAAAATCTTCATGAAAGTGCATCATGATCACTTAAAACACTTGAGCTTGTAAAATAAAGCTCAGATTTAATTGCTATAATTAACTTTCTCACTAAAGGTAGGTCAGAGGGCACATGTCATGACCTTTTATAGAGCTACATTCAAAATTTAATTAAACTACTTTACAATCAATATAAACAAATAAACTTGGCTTCCAAATGTAGTTAATAGATCAAATTTCAGTATTTTAATTTTATAAAGAAATATTGTAAAAAAAAATCACCAATCTTCCCTTGTATGAGAATTGTGAGATTTGATCTATGTCTTCCCCTTCTCTATACAGAAGTTAACAGAAATTACTCATTATAATATAGATATTACCAAAGGGTAAAGTCTAATTTTTATAGCCTTCAATCTCATTTGGTTACAAAGCCATAAACTAGAAAATCAGAACCATCTCGACACCCACCCGTTACATCCTCTCTTTCACAACTTCTCAATAATTCTTTCTGATATTTCCTACAACATCACTGATAACCAATAGATGGCAAAGTTTTATTTTAACTGATGTATAGCGCTACATTGTTTTCAGTACAGAGTACTGTCAATTTCATCTTCAGCTTAAAAGTTTATCTTGCGGTGTTTAGCTCGAGCAGCGAAGGGAATTATTTTAAGACCCTCCTGTCCAAGTTAGAAAGCCAGTTAAATTATATTAGTTATAGGACAATGTTTACTTTGTGTTTGATATTATTTTGTGTTTTTAGGTGCATTATTTATGTAAATAAAAATTATTTAGTGTCCTAGTACCATCATTATAAAAAAAGTAGGCTTAAATTTCATTGGCAACCGACAGCAAAAAAACAAGAGGTCAAAGGTTAGGACTATATTTCTTGTTTTTCATGTACATTTATCTATTATTATAAAAGTAACTAAAATGTAAAAATTAGAAACTTATTAGATTAGATTAGACTAGGTAAGATAATGAATAATAATAAAAATTCTTCACAAGGTAAGCAGAGCGAGTATTATGTCACTCACGTGAGTAATGTGTTTGCCGAGCAATTTACATCTTGTCTGGCAGGAATATTAGGTACACAGTTCAAAGAGCAATAAAAATTATGTATAAATAGATGTAGACTGGTACGAGAGCTTTAAGCTATTTAAGATAAACAACTGCAATTTTCTATTACAAATTGCAATCATTTTACAGAGAGAAAAAATTAAATTCAGATTTAATTTGTATTTTATTATGGTGGTTACAAGGTCTGTCAAATTGACCAAGTCCATATATAGTAAGGTAGAAAAAATAACAAACAAAATATAAAATTTTACTGAAAAAAACAAATTGTTTGATATTTATTTGAGAGGTTTTGGAGGTTACTCAAATGAAGATGAAGAAAAGTACTTTTAACCTTAACATGAAAATCACTTTCCACTCGAAGCATTCGACACTCTGTTTCCATATATTCAAGTAAAAATCTGTTTTTTGTGCATAAAGGGGCTGTAATGTTTACTGAAAGCTTGTCAAATTTCATGAAAGTATGCAAAACATCTTAGAAGTTATAGAATGGAACCTCTGACGGTTACTTAGTGGTTACAAGGTCAGCCACACTGTCAAATCCCAGTATAGAAAGAGTTAAAAAGTACGTATACATAAATTAGTAAAAGTCAATCTATTATAACACAGTGAGCATTAACAACTGTTTAAAATTACTATTTTCTTTATTCAAACTTTGAAGAAACCCTTGGCTTAATGACGTTTTCATTCTCTTGTAGACAACGTGCGTACCTTCTCTATGCCTATAGTTCTTCTTGTCTTGTATAGCATTGGTCAGTGTGGTCATTATGTCCAGCTGTTTTAGTGACAGAATACCGAGTCCTTTAACCAGACCAGCAAGACCGTAAGCAGCACCCTTCCTTTCTCCATAGTTCTCAGACTCTAATAGCAGCTGTACCAGCTTATGGACTAACTGTGGAGCGTCTTCTTTAATGGCCGGAACCAGTGGTGGTAAACAATCGGCAACTGCTTTTTGAACCTATAGAAAACATACATTAGTAACTAGTTCAATAGCCACTTTATAACTCGCATTGCAATCTGTACTGCTACATGAACCTATAGAAAACATACATTAGTAATTAGTTCAATAGCCACTTTATAACACATGTAGCAATCTGTACTGCTACACGAACCTATAGAAAACATACATTACTAACTAGTTCAATAGCCACTTTATAACCCATGTAGCAATCTGTACTGCTACATGATCCTATAGAAAACATACGTTAGTAACTAGTTCAATAGCCACTTTATAACCCATGTAGCAATCTGTACTGCTACACGAACCTATAGAAAACATACGTTAGTAACTAGTTCAATAGCCACTTTATAACCCATGTAACAATCTGTACTGCCACAAGAACCTATGGAAAACATACATTAGTAACTAGTTCAATAGCCACTTTATAACCCATGTAGCAATCTGTACTGCTACACGAACCTATAGAAAACATACGTTAGTAACTAGTTCAATAGTCACTTTATAACCCATGTAGCAATCAATACTGCTTTATAAACAGTCCTTTATACCGATACTAGGATGTAGCTACTTCTCTGAATTTCTTCAACAAGCTTTATAGTTCTCATTTCAGTATCCAGATTTGGACAAACACAGGTGAAATTATGGTGCAAACAAAATAACACAACATTAAGAATTGAACTTTACTGACATGAAATGTCTTTTCCAGAAGTTTAAAAACAACTAAAAATTCTTGATCTTTTTGTGTTGTTTTAGTAAATGTTAATTGAATAGCATTCTTACATATCACAAGCTATTTTAGGCTTAATATAAGCTTACCTGCTGTGATGGGGTAGAAAGAGTCTCTATCAATTTGGCTACAATGGGCTTCACTTTTGGATCAAATTTGTCTAAGTGACGAGCCAAGGTTCCCATGAGGATGACAACACTTTGTCGAACTGCATCGTAGCTTGAAGAGTCAGGCGCTTGATCAAGAAATTCTTCAAACACTGGTAGCAAGGTAGTGACCATGTCCTACAATAAATTAATAATTCCAATAGCAAGATGCCTTTCAAGTCAAAGTATACCTCAAAGTAAAGCTGTTATACCTACTTTAAACAGTCTGTCCTTCAACAATTTTAAATATAGCTCTATGTGACACAATAACAACACGTTGCCTTGACAAACAGTGTTACATTAAAACACAACTCTATGAAATATTTATCATAATTTTCCGAATGTAATACACATTTTTTGTTCACTAAAAATTTATCTAGAAGTTAAGGGGCATAAAACACATAGCAAAAAATCAATTTTTTTGTTTTGAAATGATACATTTCAATGCTATGTCTTATTAATTCACTCTGTTTGTCTAAGGCATAAATAAGGATTATCTACAATTTTCATTCATTTTCAGTATCGTTAAAGATGACTTTTGAAATAAAGTGATCAAGAAACTAAGTCTTGTGACTTTTAAGGTTTATTTACACGTAGACTTAGAAAATACAAAACTAGTTATCGTCACATTACGCCTCAAATAAAATGATCAAGAAACTAAGTCTTGTGACTTTTAAGGTTTATTTACACGTAGACTTAGAAAATACAAAACTAGTTATCGTCACATTACGCCTCAAATAAAATGATCAAGAAACTAAGTCTTGTGACTTTTAAGGTTTATTTACATGTAAACTTAGAAAATACAAAACTAGTTATCGTCACATTATGCCACAAATACAATGATCAAGAAACTAAGTCTTGTGACTTTTAAGGTTTATTTACACGTAGACCTATAAAATACAAAACTAGTTATCGTCACATTACGTTTGATATTCAAAACTACAAATCATTTTCAATGAAACCTTCAAATTCTGAGTTCAAATCACTGTCCTGAAATAGTTGGAGCTACTTCTCTACTGGCTGTAAATGGATTTTAGAGAATGTTTATTTGCTGACCAGAATAGCAAGCTCTAAGGTGAACTCACTTTTAGTGATTTTATGGATACTCTAACATTTTGACAATGTTTATTTGACAGCTGCAATCGCAAACACGACAGTGAATGAGTAATTACAGATTATACGATGCTCGAACATTCTTGTCATCAAGGGTTACTTTGGCTGCAGTATTGTAAAAATCTAAATGTATATTATTTATGGCGATAAGTCAAAGTTGACTCTTTGTTCACGAAGATTAGTGTGTGTATTATGTTCACAAAATTATGGTATACAAATAAAAAATAAGCTACCTTTCCGTGACTGTCTACGATAGCTACAGCAGCATCCAACATATTTTTGCGAACTAACTCATGGCGGTCACCTAATCCATTCCCCACAAAAAACGTCATTAACTGAGACACCATTTCCTTCTCCAGCTGAGGAGCCAAACAACACAACGTCATGGCAATACCACTTCGAGGCTCCCACGTGTCTGGAAGAGCTTCCGAAATTAATCGACCAAAATTGTCCAGGACTGGTGGAGGAACCTATGAAGAACATCACATTATTTGTGATAAAAACATTATTCAAAAGTGTAACAATATGTGATGCTTAGTAACAGTCAGATTCAGGATAAAAATGTTATTTCAATACCTTGAATCTAAATAACTACTACGAACATCAAGACTATCTACAGGTGATTATAAAGTTTCAAAGATTATGGTTACTATGGTAACAAGTACTATTATTTTAATGCTTTATGTCAATATAACTACTTTTAGACTTAGTGCAATGTTTTAAAGGTTACTGTTACTATGGTAACAACGTTTTGATATTCCAGATAAAAAAAAAATCTGTGTACGGACTGCCACAATTTCTAAAAACTGGGGTGTCGTTTTTGGAATTTTAAGCATTTATTTACTGCTAAACCTAACAAAGATTATTGTTATTATACAGCTAGCATATATTAAATAAATTTGAGATTTACAAAATAAACTTATCTGCAGTGTTCATTGTTCTGAATCACTGTTCTCATTGTCAGCATAATCATAAAAACTAAACATTGTTAAACATGATATCAAACTTCAAAGTAAATGTTTACAGTAATCTCACTGTTAGAACTATTGTAACAACTTGTACAAGTTACACTACGGTATCAATAAAATCACTTTCTATTTACATACTTATAATCGCACTGTTAAAACTATTGTAACAACTTGTACAAGTTACACTACGGTACCATTAAAATCACTTTCTATTCACATAATTATAATCTCACTGTTAGAACTATTGTAACAACTTGTACAAGTTACA